TTTCACAGTCCACTTTAGGTTTTTGTAAGATTTATTTCTGTATCAATTAGTGATGGGATTTCCGGCTCTTTTTAGAGATCCGGCTCTTTCGGTTCGGCTCACTAAAAAGAGCCGGCTCTTTCGGCTCCGAACCGGCTCTTCAGGTTGTTTTGTTGCTTTAATTAATTTATTATTAACAACAGTATAAAGTTGTGCACAAAAGGAATTACTAACGTTAAAAAAAAAGTGGTTTTATTTATATATGTTTATATATAAATATAAAACACATTTCTAGCATGAACTGAACTTCCAAAGCAGAGCTACTAGATCACTTAAATTACACAATTGAAAGCATGTGTGTATTGTTTGTGTATTTATACACAGGCACTCATATATATTCAAATAATTAAAAAAAAAAAAGGTCATTTACCTGTTATTACCACACACCAAATCCGGTCGTTGGTACTTGCTGGCTTGTGTAACCACTAGGTAACAAAAGCTCAACACTGCGCCCAGCATCCTGGAGCACTTCTGTTGTCTTTTGTACGTGTTTTGAGTTTTTATGTGCTTCTGAGTTTTTACGTGTTTTTACGTATTTTGAAGTTTGTACGTGCTTCAGGGTTTGTATGTGGTTCAGAGTTCTCGGATATCTTAGCGTCACCGTGAAAACATAATCGGACATTTGATATTTGATTGAATTTTATTGTTTTGCCTTTGGGGTGGCACCTGGGGTGGCCAGTCTGGTTGGGGGGGTGGCCTGTGCCCCCCCAGGCCACCCCGCTGGACACGCCATTGAGTAAGGCAAGAACGTGGCAAGCTAACAGCAGTTAAACTAAACAATAAACAAAAGAAAAATCCTTTAACGGCTTGATGTAATTATTGCAGGACATTCTGGCCACTGGTATTAACTGCGTACAAATTAATTAAATAATTAAATAATCCTACCAATATGGTATCAATATACCGAGGCATAACTTTAACATGCACAGACAACTATAGCTATTATCATACTAGTTAAGCCGTCAAAGGTAATCACACTTACAGGTTAAATAACGCACGTGTAATCACACAACACCAACTGCCATGCTCTGCCGCTGCTCCTTTCGTCTCTCACTCCCCCTCTGCTGCGCACATGATCACTGATTCCCTTTGGGTGCGCTTGATTCTTGCCTGGTGACATCCTGAGGCCAAGTCAGCAGGTAATTTGCACAACCACCAAGGCAATTGACTCTCAGGGCATTATTCACTTTTAAAGGAATAGAATTCAATACAAAACAAGTACTATCCAAATGCAATGCAACACATTTTTTTCAGAATTTATTGAAAACCTTTTGAGCAATCATTTTTATAGACAGAATGACAAGCACGTACGCAAATGCTCTCAAATAAAAAATTTATTTTTTTTTAATTTCACCAGGAGCTTTTATTATGACTGGGAAGCCGTGTTTAATACAGGAGCAGTTGATTACTTCAAGACCTATCCTATAATGGTACCCGCAGCCACAGCAAACGTGCCATTTCAGAGCCTGTTATGTTACCAACTCTGTTTTTTGGGGGTTTTTGGTACTATCCTAATGATATATTTAGATTTTGAACCCCTGTCCATCATTTTACCCTTTGTGCATATTTTGACTTAGCACCTTGAGGCAGCTGTTGTTGTGATTTGGTGCTATATGAATTGAACTCGGTTTGCATTTTCTCCCTGTGTTTGCATGGGTTCTATCCAGGTACTTGAACTTCCTCCAATGGTCCAAAGACATGCAGTTGGTGGGGTTAGGTTAGCAGGTTACCAGCGACATTTCCCTGGTGTGTATGGGATAAGCTCCAGCTCCCCAGTGAACTGAATAAGAGAACTGATGGATGAATCAAACTGAACTGGTAGACTTAAAACGCAGGTGTCCGTAATGAAATTAAAATGTTTCACCAGTGCAACTGCTCTAACTAATGATCCTGAACATTAAGCAGGAAGAACTTTTATATGCATTTTATTTTATTACAAGGTGCTCTATGTGGGGAAGTTTTTGGTTCAAATCAAACACAATTCTTACCTTTAATATGCAAAAGTAAGAATGGAGGTGGAATGGAGGAGGGTTGCAAAAAGGGAAAAAAGAAGCTTGTACTTCATAAGAAATCCTTAATGTCGTAGTCCAGGTGCCCTAAATACCTGCTTCCTGCTACAATGGGTTCCAACTACAAACTTAAAAACAAGTTCTTGAGGAGTTGTTTTCTTTGACATTTTATCTTTTTTTTTTTTTTTTTTTTAAGATGGTTTAAAAAGTTTGGTACATTATTAAAGATAAAGGCAACTTCCTGCTATAGCTCTAACAATTTAAACGGCGGTGTTCAGTGATTCTTTGTCGTCCAACAAACAAACTGAATGCATTTAAATACTAATTATAAGAATTGCTTTGATTTCTCTGTCCTGCAAAATGGCTTTTTGGGTAACACACACACACGCAACAATGTTATAATAATAATGGATTGCATTTATATAGCGCTTTTCAAGGCACTCAAAGCGCTTTACAATTCCACTATTCATTCACTCTCACATTCACACACTGGTGGAGGCAGCTACAGTTGTAGCCACAGCTGCCCTGGGGCAGACTGACAGAAGTGAGGCTGCCATCGGCCCCGTTAGCAACCAAAATTACACCTTGAATGAACTCTTGAGTTGTTGATGTGTATCTGGGATCTGATCCAGACAGGTCGGAGCTCCTCTTCTACCAGTCTGTCTGCTGCTGCAGGCTGAGTTCCTCTTCTGTCTCCAAAGTGGAACAGCTAACAATAAATACATGAATAGTACAATGAGACTGATGCACTGCAAATGTACTGGCTTAATCTAAATCCAACTTCCTACAGGGAGTGCAGAATTATTAGACAAATGAGTATTTTGTCCACATCATCCTCTTCATGCATGTTGTCTTACTCCAAGCTGTATAGGCTCGAAAGCCTACTACCAATTAAGCATGTTAGGTGATGTGCATCTCTGTAATGAGAAGGGGTGTGGTCTAATGACATCAACACCCTATATCAGGTGTGCATAATTATTAGGCAACATCCTTTCCTTTGGTAAAATGGGTCAAAAGAAGGACTTGACAGGCTCAGAAAAGTCAAAAAATAGTGAGATATCTTGCAGAGGGATGCAGCAGTCTCAAAATTGCAAAGCTTCTGAAGCGTGATCATTGAACAATCAAGCGTTTCATTCAAAATAGTCAACAGGTTCGCAAGAAGCGTGTGGAAAAACCAAGGCGCAAAATAACTGCCCATGAACTGAGAAAAGTCAAACGTGCAGCTGCCAAGATGCCACTTGCCACCAGTTTGGCCATATTTCAGAGCTGCAACATCACTGGAGTGCCCAAAAGCACAAGGTGTGCAGTACTCAGAGACATGGCCAAGGTAAGAAAGGCTGAAAGACGACCACCACTGAACAAGACACACAAGCTGAAACGTCAAGACTGGGCCAAGAAATATCTCAAGACTGATTTTTCTAAGGTTTTATGGACTGATGAAATGAGAGTGAGTCTTGATGGGCCAGATGGATGGGCCCGTGGCTGGATTGGTAAAGGGCAGAGAGCTCCAGTCCGACTCAGACGCCAGCAAGGTGGAGGTGGAGTACTGGTTTGGTAAATAAATGGTAAATGGCCTGCATTTGTATAGCGCTTTTCTAGTCCATAGGACCCCAAAGCGCTTTACACTACATTCAGTCATTCACCCATTCACACACACATTCACACACTGGCGATGGCAAGCTACATTGTAGCCACAGCTGCCCTGGGGCGCACTGCCGGACACAGGCGCCACCGGGCCCTCTGACCACCACCAGTAGGCAAACATGGGGTTAGTATCTTGCCCAAGGATATTTGACATGCAGCCCGGAGGCAGCCTGGGATCGAACCACCGACCTTCTGATTAGTGGCAGACCTGCTCTGCCACCTGAGCTACAGCCCCACAAGCTCATCTTTGATGAGCTTGTGGGGCCTTTTCGGGTTGAGGATGGAGTCAAGCTCAACTCCCAGTTTCTGGAATACACCTTCTTCAAGCAGTGGTACAGGAAGAAGTCTGCATCCTTCAAGGAAAACATGATTTCCATGCAGGACAATGCTCCATCACACGCGTCCAAGTACTTTTTGGGTTCATTGAGAACATGGTTGTTGTTCAATATTAAAATTATTCCTCAAAAATGCAACTTGCCTAATAATTCTGCACTCCCTGTAGAGGGTGCATTCAAATAAACCTGATCACTCTTTCTTTAGCAGTTAATATACAATGAGCTAACATTGTAACAGAAACAATATGTACTCTGTGGTTATGAGGTTAGTACCAACTAATGCAACCAGTCACTGTCAAACATGTAACATCCATATACATATGTGTTATACTCTGTATTTTGTTCTTACCTTCACTTGGTCTATGCTGTACACCTGGCCTTTTTTTAAAAAAATTGCTATGGCTATATCTTCTCAAACATCTTCACTTTTAGCTGATGTGAGAGATTTTACATGGTGTTCAATATGAACCAGCCGAATCAGACATTGCAGAACGGGTGCTGTACATTTAGCACTGAAAGAACTGACATAAAAAAAAGCAATAAAGTCTGATTGACTGATAATAAAGACCAAATAGTATTTGATAAAACTGAAAGAATAAGAACAAAACAATAATAATTGTAAAAAAACAAATGTGACAAATAAAGGCTTCATCCATCTATCATAACCTTGGAGTTGGACTTCACATTTTTCTACCGCAAACCGACAAGTCAAACACATCAGATTTTTTTTTAGGATGACCTGATTCTTATCTACAAAGTCTAAAAATGTCTGTTTCACTACATTTTTAGATACGGCCAAGTAAAATAACAACACAGGTATTTAATATGTAAAGATTACAATTAGAATTCTATTATTCTTTTCTAATTTGTCGAGCCTCTCATGAAATATACGCGCGTTACATCTGCATTTCAAACGCGTGCATGATATCATCCACTAGGTGGCAGCAGAAAATAAATGACCACATTGCACCACTTAAACACTTCCGGGTAACGTTTGTTCGATTGTAAACACTTGGGGCTTTAATCTGAGTTGTGTAAGGTGTGCAAATAGCAGAAATACACAGGCTGTCGTTTGTGAAACACCACATTTTCGGTTCCCGTGTTTAATACGGAGCCTATTTACTATTACTCGGTTATGTTGTTCCTCCGGACCGCGGCTTTCAGCGCCAGAGCTCTGGCCGCTCTGCGCCGCGGACCAGCCGGCTTAACCGCCTCCAGAGCGACCGCTACGTACGTCCAGGGCCAGAGCCCCACACCACGCATCCGAGAATACTTCTACTATATCGACCATCAAGGACAGGTAAGAAAGTAAACTAGCTCTTCAAAAAGTAAACATCCGGAGTCTCCCTTTAGCAGTAAATATCATGTTAACTTTCATTCCTCTACTTGCAGCTTTTCCTCGATGATACCAAAGTGAAAAACTTTGTCACCTGCTTTAAAGGTAACCAAGAAACATACAGCACAGACTTATTATTTATTTTGACATTAAGAAATGACAGCGTTACAGTACACAGCAAAACTCTTGACTGTCCCATCATTTCTTTATAATTGAAAATGGGCAATGTATGTAACGATTTATTAAAATATCCAAACATGCATGGAAATACAGTTTAAGGCATAAACAGTTTGTATAATTCTAACGAGCTTGGAACCTCTCTCTCTTGGATTTTGGCACTCTTTTGTTCTCATCCCTTCATTAATTCTGAGGTCCAGGCTCAGGAAAGATAGTGTTTTGTTCTTCCGTCCCGTTTGGTATCCTCAGTACATACTGCCGACAATTTGAGCCCAAAATGTAAAGTTTGTATTCATCACTCCATACGACCAGTTGTCATTGATTTTTCAGTCCGGTTCTGGTGTAATGGTCACACCCCTTTTTCCCATCCTTAAGAATGTCTTCTTCTTCTTCTTCTTCTTCTTCTTCTTCTTTTTTTTAAAGGTACAGCGTGTAAAATATCACCGCTATATGCTGGTAGATTGCAGTTGACTGATTTCTGTTTTCTTACGCCTCCCAAATCATGTGCATTATCGTAGCTTTAGTGACTTCTGTAGAACAAACAACTCTGGCCAGCGTTAATCTGTAGTAAGAGCAGGCAGTCAGTCCACTATTTACCTCAAACATCAGAATTCTGAGTGTCCACATCTGTTTATTCTGGAGGATGCTGCAAAACTTTGTGAATGGAGTCTGATACACATCAATGAATCACTTAAGCTCACGTCTGTCAGATGACATGATATTGAGATGAGGTGATGAGGATGTCCTGAATTTTTCTGTTGGTTAGCGGTGCTGTTTTACCAGTGTTAGCTGCTGTTAGGCAGCATTGATGAAACTTTCTCTGAAGTGGATCAAACCTTGCGGTGAACCCCAGGAGAACTGACGGCTCTGACGGCATCCCATGGGATGTTGTTAAAGCCTGCGTGAAACAACTGTCAGGGAATCCTCACCATGCTGTTCAACCTCTCCCCGACTCATGCCACCATTCCCACCTGTCTGCCTTAGCCATCATTTCCATCCTCCAAAAGACTGGAATAGACCGCCTCAATGACTACAGACCCATAGCCCTTACGTCTGTAGCCATGAAGCGTTTCAAGCAGAAGGCCCAACAGCAGCTGCACTTTCTACGCATCCTGAGGAAGAATAACCTGGACCAGAAGCTGCCGCTGGTCTTCTACCACACCTCAGTGGAGAGCGAGCCGTCCTACTGCCTGGGTGTTTTGTACTCCACTACTGAGCCCAGGATGTCCCACACCTCCAGACTCATGAACAGGTTCTTCCCTGGGACATTTAGACTGTTAACAAAAATTGTTCTCCCACACCCCACCCCTGCCCACCATCCTCACCAATATGAGCTATGGTCTGAGTAAACCTCACCATTCAGACCACTTACAAGAATGATACACGTGATAATGCACTGCTTCCAAGCACTTTGTTCTCCAGTGTGTGCCTTTATTTCCTTTTTGATTGTATATATTTCTCCTGTTTGTTATTTATTCCTTCTGTCTTACTGTTATTCATGTACAAATGTTAAATGGTTATATTTGAACCATTTGCGCTTTTTAAATTAAAAACAACTTATAAGGTGTATTACATATGCGGCCGGTCCTTAGCTATGTACATTAAACACATGATGTAGAAATACTTCAGAAAATAAGTGCTTGAGACCACTTATACCAGGTATTTCAGTTAATTATAAAAATGTCTGGATTCTTGGATGCAAGGAACCAGACTAAAGAAATGAGAGGTAACTTGTGACATTTCACAATTCGCAATTCACTTAAATTGCAGCCAGCTTGAATACATTGTAGTGTTGTACATTAAACTGGGAAAAGAAAAAAAAATTTACTTTGTGATAATCCTTGAGAGACATTTAAATTGTGTTACACTGAGATGATAAACTGTGACATTTAATTATGGATTTAATATCACATTCTTATGTTATACTAAAAAAGTTTTATACAAAATGTAGTGCGATGTTCATATACAGTTGAATTATTTTAATTTCAAGTAAATTGCATTAATACCACTTGTGAGACCATTACTGATGCCCTCATTTTTTATTTATTTGTTTTTTGTTACCAGATAAGGAATTCCTAGTCTTCTTCTTCACTCGTCTGCGCATGAATCATAGTGGTCGTTACGAGGATGACTTCCCCTTCCTGTCACTGTGCGGCAGGGAGAGGAATTTCCTGCGCTGCGATGACCGACCTGTGGTCTTCACCCACCTGCTGCAGAGCCCCACTGGACCGCAGGGCGAGCAGGAGCTGCTATCATACTGTGGCGGCGCAGAGAAACTCTCCGTCCTGTTCCGCCCCGAGGCGCTGTACATGCATCCTGTCAGCGGGCGAGTTTACCACCCCTGCTCAGAGCTTTCAGGTGGAGTCGGCCTGGTCAGGTCGGCTCTGGCAATTGAACTCAGCCCCTTCTTTGTGTATACACAAGAGCGAGACCAGTCAGGACAGCCTACATACTTTGTATGGGCAGGACAGAAGCACGCACTGACCAATGAGCTTGCAGGATACTTCCCTGTAGCTGAGCAGGGCAATGGACACCAGGGAGAAGTGGGATAATTTGGTAATGATTCCAGACTGAGTTTAAAATCTTCTTAGGGATGGGATGTGTGAGAAATGAGAATCACTAATGAATAATAGCTCCAACATTTTTTTGGCTTGCAAACAAAGAAATGCCTTCTTTTGTCTCCGTGTTTGAGGCTGTAGCCCACTAAAGGTGTCACATTTGAATTCGGTTTATGTGCCTGAAGCGATGAAATTATCCAGACAGTCAAAAGAGCACAGCTGTCTAGTGTTTAGGACTGTTACATTGCAGCAAGAAGGTACCCAGTTCAAATCCAGGCTGGGACTTTTCTGTGGGTTATTTGCTCTGTTGTGGTCTTCCTGTGCCTACGTGGGTTTCCTCCTCTTGCTCTTTCCCACAGTCCTGAGATATGCGTATTTTAGGAAGGATATTATTTATACTTCTGTTCTATTAATTAAGCTGTTCTCCTGAGGAAACTTGAAAAGAAATCCAAGTTGTTGTATCACAATAGAATGTGGTGTAAAACTGAGTTTTTTTTAACAGTTGTATATATCATATTATAGTTACAGTTTTTGCAAATTTAGGTGCAATTCCTTTTAAAGAAAGATTCAGATGTAGCCTCACTTTTAAAAGTTGAAACTTGATACAAATGCATTCATTGTGTTGAATGCAAAGTCTAAGAGTATTCATTTGAACACTGTAAAATCACAAGCAGTGTGAACTGAAGTGTGCTTTGGAAATATTTTGGAATTAAACTAATAACATATTCCAAGGTTTAGTTTTCAGTTTATTTTTGTCACACAAAAAACAAAATGCTTGGACACTGCTAGCATGGGCGCCTACAGAAACGCAAAGCAGTAGATGAAGCATCGCTGAATATGTTTCCAAACCAACTTCATTCTAAGCCAAAGACTAGAAAATATGGTGAAGCATATCTTCCCTTTGGTTTCACCTGCACAAGTGCCGAGGTAGGTCTCCACTGCAGAATTGGTTTTCCCTTCGTCGGGAGCAGCGCTGGGCTGTTTAAATCACGGACAAACAGTATCCCACATTCGTGATTTAGTTCACAAACACTTCTTGTAATGACTAACTACTCCTGACATTTTGGAGATATACATACTATACTTTATAGAGTAAAGTTACAGTGGGATACAAATGATATCAAGCTGATCCTGCCACGATTTGTTCCCCCGGTTCAAATCACGGACAAACAGTATCCCACCGTTATTTATGTTTTAAACCTGTTTTGCTCAGAGAGGCATTTTTTGAAAAATGTATTGATAGCAATGTTGAATATTATTACACAGAAAAAAAACAACTACATGTAAAATAATTACACCGTGACGCCTCTGCCTTTGTAAATGGAGGGACAGTAACTGCGTGTGTAAATGTAAGCCTGTAAAACCTGAAGATGGTCAGATTAACACATTTGTCTCTATCTGCCAGTCTGCAATTCATCTCATGTAAACAATAACGTGGCGCACAGGGTGATGTGGAAAAAGGCACATACCTTTGACGTTGCATGATGAACTCTGTATTCCTCGTCCACACGTAAACGCAAAAAAGGAGTTTTAAAAAAAATCTCCGTTTTCGGTGATTCGAAACGCCGTTTACGTGTGGACGAAAGGTCAAAACGCATAGAAACAGCTGCGTTTTCAAAAATACCCGTGTAGATGTGGACGTAGCGTAAAAGAGTTAGTAGTTTATTTTCTTACTACCTGTAATTTATTGCAGATTACTTGTATTTGCTTAATTGTTTACTAAATGTTTGAGGTGTGAAATAAACCGCAATGGAGCAAAATATGGGTGTGTGTGGTTGGAGGATGTGTTAGTGCGTGTGCGTGCGCGCGTGCACGCGGTGGGGGGGGGAACATTTTTCTTGTAAAACAAAGGGGGGCCAGCAAAAAAAGTTTGGGAACCACTGGGTTAACTAATGATTGTACATTGCCCATGCATGTGAATGTGAGTTTGAATAGTCTGCCCCTCTGTGTTAGCTTTCCGACAGACTGGTGCCTCTTCCCCTGTTGCAGCTGGGATAGGCTCCTGCTGCAAATCGCTCAGGTCCTATGGCTGCACAAGCCCAAATCATTAACCCTTCACCACTGTGCTGTGTATTACAACTAAACTTCTCCACTTTGCTCTTATCTGTCCAAAAGACATTGTTCCAAAAGTCTTGAGATTTGTTCAGGTGCAACTCTGCAAATCTAAGTCGTACTACCATGTTCTTTTTAGAGAGAAGAGACTTTCTCATAGCAACCTTCCAAACAAGACATGCTTGTTCTTTCTTTTTTTATCTACATTCTCTTGTCATAATGGTTAACATTTAAAATCCAGAGGCCTGTGGCTTTATGGTTGTTGTTTTTTTTAATGTTCTCTAAGCATAAAGCAGTATGACCTTGGAGTAAATTTGTGTGATGTTCAAGTCTGGGAACACTGTGGGAGTGTGTTAAAACAACTCCTGCTGTGACTGGCCCTCTCAATTACCTATGGAAGCACTAAGGATGTGTTAGTTTTTCATAGGACTGCATAGAGTCACGGGAAGACTTTTTCACATGACTCTAGCTCATTGCCAGATTTAATTTCAGCTTGACATAGTGGCCTGCAGAGAACAAACTAAGACCAGTCATTACTAGATTGTTGATAACCAGAGATGGGCAGTAACGCGTTACAAGTAACACGTTAGTGTAATCCGATTACTTTTTTCAAGTAATGAGTAAAGACAGGGATTACTATTGCAAAGAAGGTAATTCGTTTACTGTTACTTTCCCGTGAGCACGCTGCGTTACTGCATTACTAAAACCATGATTTTTTTTGTGTGTGAGTGTCTCACGACAGTGACCTAAGCGAGTGCGGCATTCGTGGCAACAGCTGCGTGCAGATCAACAATGGATAATATAATGGATACTATAATATATCTCGAGAGAGAGAGTATGACCGTGCAGCATTTAAAGTGTGGAAGTACTGACCTTACTTTGAGTTTGATTCCGTAAGTGACAAAAACATTAGCGTCTGCTGTTCGAAGAAAACTTTTACAGCATCTGTTTGAAAGTGTGAGTTTAAACACAAAAGCCTATTTTTTATATGCTGGAATGTGCAGAAAATAGGTTTAAATGTTAAACAAATTTCTTCCAGTCAGAGAATGTTGCATATAATTAAAGTTTTGCTTGATGCATAAAGTTTAAAAATTAAAACTAATAAAACAAGTTTTAAAAAGAGACTTTTTCATTTGATTACATTTTATATGATGGATTATGCAGAAAAATGGTGTAAATGTTTTTAAAGATTAACTAAGTAACTAATTACTTTCAAAAATAAGTAATCAGTAGGGTAACAGGATTACTTTTGGGGGGTAATAATCAGTAATTAGTTACTGATTACTTTTTTCAAGTAACTTGACCAACCCTGTTCATAACTATGCAACTGACAAATAAAGAATCTTGAATAAGGTTAAAACCAGAGGATGCTTGCTGACATTTTGGAATAAATTTAGTCAGAAATTAGAAATAATCAAATAAGATATTCCAACATTTTCATGGCTCATTATAAATAAAGATTAATTTTGTAGTTGCAATATATGCATAGATGGTGGGTTTTTACATTGCGAGCTGAAGGATCTCGCTCCTTCACAGCAGGTGGCCACATGGACGCGATATTTTGAAAGTGAATCCAGTTTTCATCATCCAAAATTGCGTTAGGTTAAGCGCATGACTCGTGACACGGGCTGACACTAATGGGAATCACTAGACCATAAATGTACGCCAACAAAGAGACTAACTGAAAAGTCTTTAATGCAACAACGTGAGCCGTGGCTGTATTTCCCAGCTGCCCCGCTCCGTCTCTGCCTCAGGGGGTAAAGGAGTCGGTGGGAGAACTGCAAGTCCCAGAGGTCTCGGCATCAGCCCTGGGAGAACATGGCAGCGCCGTCCAGCAGCAGCACGTGCAGCGGGGTTATGGAGCGGTGTATCCGGGAGCGGGTTCCCCCGCTGCTCACCGACTTGTACCAGTTCACCATGGCGTATGCGTACTGGCGGGCCGGTCGCCACGACGAGCACGCCGTGTTCGATCTCTTCTTCAGGGACAATCCGTTTGGCGGAGGCTTCTCGCTGTTCGCCGGGGTGCACGACTGTCTGCTGTTCCTGCGCAGCTTTCGCTTCGCAGACGAAGGTGAGGAGATCAACTAACTACATGTTACTGTCACTGACTACAAACTGGACATAAACGCTAGATTAAATAATAAAAGTCTCGTTATTAATCCGCTGACAGTCACGTTTCTCTCCTGTGGAGCTCTGGTAGGCATACAGAACTGGTTGCGCAATACTACTTATTATTTCTTAAGAACTGGAAAAGAGAAAGTAGTGACTTGTGAAAACTTACAGAAGCCCAAGAAGCAACTGTGCTTCTTTAAGTTCGTAAAGTCCAGTTTCCCCAAAGCCGTTAAGAATACCACCATTAATCGTATGATCGTGTTACTATTTGTTCCACCAGCAGCAGCTTTGCTACTCCAGGACCGATTTAACCGCAAAAGGCACACAGGGGCTCTGCAACCTTGGCTTTATGTAGGAATATAAGCAAATCATCTGTAGCCCACTGCACATCTACTCAGACTGACTGCGAGGTGTTAGTGCTCTGTCTGTCTGTATGAGAGTGACAGCAGTCAGTCCGAGTGGGACCACTGTTGATTTTGGATACACAGATATGCCAGTCCAGCATCAGTATCGGATAACATGACTGCATTAGATGTTGCTACCTATCCCAGTAACTAATGTTAATGTGCTTCCCTCGCTTTGATATAGGACTGTTTCAGTGTTTGAAAGTGATGAGGTTTGCACAGTAGTACACAGCAGAGGAGCACTGTTTCACACTGCCTTCAAAGTGGTGGACCTATGATGTTCCTTCTATACATGTGTTGGAACGTGTACTTGAGTAAAAACAGGAAATCTATTTTCTCTACCACAAAAGTATGGTCTAAAGTAGCATAACATCATCAGTTAAGTAAAACCACCAATTTCTTTGCAATACTTGAATTAATGCACTTTTTAAAACTTTAGCAGCTGCACAGGTGAAAAGTAATCAGCGCTAAGACAGGATCACTGTGCCACACTTGTGCAACAAACATGTTTAGTCTAACCTTCGTTATAGTCGCACCACTGATTTACAGGAAACGATGTGATTTTTGATTTTTTTTTTCTGTTCCTGTGAGTGTAGGTGCGTGAGACAGGAGGACAAACAGAGAAGTGAGTCAGGAGAGTGTTACAGGGTTGTGTTAACATTTTGTGTTCATGGATCCAGATGTGGAGTTCCTGCGCTCTGTCATGCCTCCAGACACTGACCCTGCCTTCTTCCAGTTTCTGCGATGCCTCGACTGTTCGGGTGTAACGCTCCATTCCGTCCCCGAAGGCACTGTGGTCTTTGCCAGGGTGAGCTATGAGTCTTTAAGGTTAAACTGAGGTTCAAAGGTCACAGTCTGAGGGACTAACTAGTGCTGCATGTCATCATATCTTCAGGTGCCTCTCATGGAAGTGGCTGGTCCACTGGCTGTGGTACAACTACTGGAGACAAGTCTATTGTGTCTTGTCAACTATGCCAGGTAATACATAGTCATATTTCTGTCTTTCCTGGAAAAGTAACGTCCTGGTTATTTTCCCATGTTGTGCCATCTTTAAAGCTACTGCGTTCACCCCGAGGACCTTAGGAAATATATTTCTGAAGAATTCTATTTCATATTTGGGAAAATGTAAATAAGCTTATTTGCGATATTTTGTTTGTTGCTTTCA